ACCAACTTCACTTAAATGCAAAAAAAAAAAACGATAATATTCCCTCCTTACTGCGACAATTAATGTAACTGAAGTCGACAGTCTTAACAGGAAAAAGTTACATTGGGGAATAAACTAGTCAGATAATATTATTCAAAAGCTCAAATAATTTAACTGATATTCTTACTTTCTATTTACTCCTAGGGAATTTTAGCCATTCTCCCTTCTCGAAATTTGGTACTGAAGTATACAACTTACATAATTAATGAATTACACATGAAATTTATAATATCAAATGTGATTTCACCGACCAAATACGAAAACTACTTTAGAGAGTAAAGTTAATCTCATAATAATAACATTATCATTTCGTAACCAAATTTTCTCCTGGTTCAAAATTGTAGTTTATCCTTGAGACTAATCAAGCTTAGATACAATGATTGAATCTTAAGGTAATATTCATTAGACATTGTTGTTAATGAAGAATTATTTGTCGAAATGTTCATGTATATAAGAGCAAGTCAATATTGCCCGCGTTGCAATGCATACCTCAAAAGTGAGCGAACACATTGCAATTTGATATCACAAATATACATTTTAATGGATGGGAAAAGACTTAAGAGCATTGGTTATTGCTTGATCATTACAAATAAATATTACATTGTACATTTGTGTACACAAAGAGCATCATTTATTGAGAAAAACTAACTAATGTAGAATAGGCAAACGACTCACTAATGAGAGTTTAAGGAAGCAATACTTTAATTATGATTATCTCAAGTAGCAATCTGAAAATTATATATCAGCGTCAGGTGTTCGCGTTTAGGTTATGACTACGATTTTGAAAGTTTACTATATGGTTATAGGTTTACTTAACGTACTCAAATTCTACGTCTTCAGATAGCAATTTGACACCAAATCGAAATAGTGTAATATGCTCGTGATTTTTCAAATCGTAAATAAGAAGAAAATAATAGACCTATATATGCGGTAAAGTCTTTGAAAGAAAGAAAAGTAAATGACTATTGAAGTATTCTGTTATCCTCTGCCATGGGATTTGTGTTACATAATTATCTTGTCGTCATTTCTTGAGACACTGCCATATATAAGAAAGAAATCTATAGCAGTAGGGAAACAAATTTCAAGTTTGAGATATTTTTGAACGAATTATGCAATTTTCGTACATTTCTAGTACTTAGGAAGACATTTACATATATTCAAGACTCAAATCCAAACCAATGACCAAAATGGCGCATATGTCCCTTTTGTACGATGGAAATAAAAGAACAAGAAAAAACAATAAGTTGAACATATCCTTCCATATAAGCGATTCGATCAAAAAGAGAAACCGGTCTCATTCCGTTTAATATCTTCGCTTCCTGTAATTTAACTTGAAATACTTGAAAATGAAAGATCAATTGTGATTTCAGGATTTTTCAACTTGCAGGATATGATAAATCATGATTTCAACATTATTCTACCTCGTGCAGGATATAGCTACTACTAAACTTGTAGTTTGAAAGGTTCTAGTTAGTGATGTAAGACATAATGTCCTTTTGGTCTAAAGACAACATATAGTAACATCATAAAAGGTATCAATAATTTAACCAATTGAACCAAGTGACATTTAATATTCCAATAGTCCAATATTGATTTTCTATTAGCGTGCAGTAGCAGACACCTAGTTTTACTTCAACTATTGGTCATTTTTCACTCGATTGAATAAAGTTGACGTAGACAATCTGAGAGGATTTAAAGGATAATGTTTCGGCATTAAAGTGTTTAAAACAACATAAAACAAACACCGACAACGAGGAATATTTGATTTTGTCTGGCAGAAATCTACTAACAACCGACTTGGATAAACATTTAATTTAGTTACACGATTTAGCATTATGTCGGTTAATTTCATCATCACCACGTATGACTGAAATTTATTGGATACAAAGGCTTAACAAACTGATTCTACCTCTGTCTGCCTGCTGTTCAATTTTCACTTAAAGGGAATGAATAAAGCCAAGATCAATATTTAGCGTTCCTAATAAGTTTTCATGATCCCCTCCTGGCAGTCCATCTACAGAATCATCTCTGAAGTATCGAAGTTCTTTTGATATTGGTTTTCAATGAATTATTCAAAAGCAAACACCAGTACTGCTTATGGCATCACCACACTGAATTTTACTAATGTTGTAATCTAATTTAGGCCTAATTCTCGAAAATATCGATACATGATGGTGACAGAAAATTAAAGATAATATTGCCTTGTCCGGTGGCCGGACGAAAAAGACGCTTGCTTTATAACCTTGGAAAGCTTGGTCCTGTCATAGATCGACATACTTTCCGATATTTCAATCCAGTGTTCCCTGTCAGTGATACTGTTGTCTTGGCGTTCAAATCGACGAGTGAGAATCGGTTTGCTTCAGATTGTGCATTTTAAAGATGCTTAGGTAGATGTAAATAGAAATCGCATTATAATCCCAATAAAAGCGGCCATAGATAACATATTCTTTCAATTTCCGAAAAGATCACCATGAAAGTGATACTATATGTGTTACATATGGCCGAGTCGCACTGTTCCGAAGTTGACACCAGATGCACACACGATGAAAGAAATGTTCAAATTCGGGCCTGTCGTATATAAATCAGGTCATTCGTAAGGACATATTAATCCATCGTATGACTGCGGGTTGAGTTTTTCAGGCTTCGTCAGCTATTTCGTGAGTGATGGCAACAGTGGGGGTACAGAGGTGCATTTGCCCCCATAGAAAATTTTCAAGAAATCTAAATGTCTATCTTTTTTTTTCAAAATATGTGTCAGAATGCGAAAAATCAGTTTTCTTGAGAGGTTTGCGACTATGACACCACCACAGAGTAGTCAAAATTTGAATTCAGACTCAGCTGTTGTCCCCCTATTTGTACCCCCAGTCTCGAAAGTGTTGCGCCGCCACTGGATGGCAAATATATGGCATGCCAAAGGGCGTTGCGAAGGTTCATGTTCGTGTTGAATTCGTATGTCCATTTTGCTCTTCGTAATGCCATAGTGTGATCATCTTGTCATCTTCGGCTTTACTTTGTATCATCATATGTGCCATCGGGCATTTTTCGACTCACGAAGAAAACAAGAAGCTACCCGATTGATTTCGGAAGACTACACGACTACGAAAAGCCTTCGCAATACTGTCGTGGATCCATCGTGGATCCATCTCCTTCATAAGCCATCATCTGGCGTAGTCAGGTAAGGCGTAAAGCTCCACCTAATTCATGTAATTTCTCATTATGTAGTCCGTAGCCATCTTCGTGTGCGTTTCTTGTGGTATCGTTTAGATTTGCTGCAGTCCCAGTTCTGGACTATCTTCGCCCGAAATTCAACTTTCCTTATTCGCATGACCATCTGGTGTCTACATTGGGACAGTGTAAAGCCAGCATTAAGCAGGCGACGACATTATACCTAAACTCACTGTATTTGCGTTCGTAAATAAAAGTACATTTTTAAAAAAAAAGATTGAGATTTTTTTGTGAGCCACTGAAAAGTAAAAAAGAATGGAAATTTATCAGAAAAATTGTGTTTCATTGATGCAAAAATCTTCTAGAATTCGTGAATATAGATGACAAGGCATTCAAGACTTGACATTTGAAAACAAGATAGATAGAATTTACCATAGAGTAAAACCATTGCTGATTGATAGAAAGCCGATATAGTAATTTACTGTAACCCAAACTTAGCCTTAATAGAAACTCAATTTTCAGATTATAACTTCAACCTCTTACAGAAACAAATGAGATGTAGCAATTTAAAGATGGTTCCCTTATTTTCATCATTTATGAAAATGAAAATGCTAATATTTATATGAATAGAAAGTAAAGGTGTTCTAATGACTTGGAAAAATACCAGTTTGTCTCACATGTCCATAATTAATTTGTAATAGGCTAAACTAGAAGAGAATTACCAGCAGCATTGCAATGAATGACCGATCAAGAAAGATCAAAAAGTCTTTTTTTGTTTATCCAGACTGTACATACATGGAAATTTACAAGATAATTCATTATAAACACCAATTATTAAAATATTTGCTTAATTTGACACTAAAAACATAAGGAAACCTCTCATTTCGAAAAGAGCAACTATTTGTGTTCAATATGTCATCTTCCAACTCAGTAACTCAAACATACACATGAAAGACCTTCACAAATGTAAATGGGATAGTTCGCTCTGCATGGCGTTGCCAGTCTTCATTAGCACACACGGTGCAGAAAAGTAGGACGTAAAACTCCATTCATTTCATTAGTGCATTATATTTTCGTCGGCTTGGAATGAGGCATGGTGTAACTTGTACCTGATATTTCACTTGTACTAAGTAAATTATTAGTTGATAAAATGAGATAAAGAGCAGGTAGAATTCATTGCAGTTTTAAAACGTCATTATATCATGTTGGATAGGAACCAGAGTCTACTATTATATTAAGATAATGTGCAATAATATGATAATGAATTTCTTTGATCAGTTTAAAACAGGTTATTACATCTGTCAGATAGGCCATGTTTCATTTCCTTTACTCATTTAAAATTGTGCATTTCGGAAGTTTATGATCTTACAAATATACAAGTTCATTAGAGCAAGATTTGAAGAGATTTTTGGTTCTGTAATTATGTGCATTTTTTTTTTTTTTTTAAACAATATTTATTCAAGAATTACAAATATTACAATATACATATAGATAAACATATGCTTTTGGAATTATGTGCATTCGTGATGACATACTGCTTAATGTCATTCGATAATTCGTCATCATGCTCAACGTCATCCTCATACCACGCTATAGGTTACAGACATGATATGTGTCTCACACCGATAAATATCAGCAAATATGGTTTATTTTCATTGTCAAGATCGTGGTCCAAATCATGACTTTTCTATTATGATAATGTAAAAAATTGAATCGTCATCATGATTGGATGATATTTTAGCCAACTGTTAGGTAAAGTATGAATAATAATACATTTCTATTTTTTGTCTTTTCAGTTTGCTGCATTTTTCAGTTTTACCTGGAACTTTGGTGCATTTCTATGTAAATTTGTCCACTACATGCAGAATATTTCTATGATATGTTCAGTGACTACTCTCACAGCAATGAGTATTGAAAAGTAAGTATCAAATTCTTCTAAAATATTTTCGTAATCTTTCAATAAAAAGGGTATCAAATTGGTACTATATGTCACATGAGGGACGATGGAGTGACAGATCTAGGAGAAAAGCTCTAGTGGACCTTGGATCTGGTCTGAGATTTCACAAAGTTTCATACCCAATATAGGACACCCCAATTACCGTAGTAAAATCTCTATTGTTTCTCGTCCAAATCGAATTCATTCAATACCGGAATTTTATACGCCCACATGAAATGGGGGGCGTATATTGCCGTCACCTCTTTCCGTCGGTCCGTCGGTAAACAATCTAGAAGGTGCAATTCATGACGGATTTTGATGAAACTTGGTATCAGTGTTCGTAATCGCCCAAGTATAAACCCTATTGAAAATCAGAAAAATTGAAAAATATTTAGTATGAGTTATTGCCCTTGTTCTTCAAAACGCATTCAAATTTTAGCTTGTAAACACTCTAGGAGGAACAATTCTTGACGGATTTTAACGAAATTTGGCTTGAGTGTTGGTTATCACCCAAGGATGAACCCTATTGAAAATCAGAAGAATCTAAAAAATATTAAGTATGAGTTATTGCCCTTATTCTTGAAAACGCGTTCAATTTTTAGCTTGTAAACCCTCTAGAAGGCACAATTCTTGACAGATTTTAACGAAATTTGGCTTGAGTGTTTGTTATCACCCATGGATGAAGCCTATTGAAAATCAGAAAAATCGAAAAAATATTTAGTATAAGTTATTGCCCTTGATCTTGAAAACTCGTTCAATTTGTAGCTCATAAAAACTCCAGAAGGCATGATTCTTGCTGCATTTTGACAAAACTTGGTTTTATTATTCATTACCGCGCTGAAGATTGAATATTTGTCTTCTAGAGTTTTCACGAGCTAAAGATTCAACACGTTTTCAAGAACTGGGGCAAAAACTCATACTCAATATTATTCAGTATCACCCTAAAGAGTTCATAAGAAGTGTATGACTGAAGGTTGAATATTTCATACTGGTGATTGTTACTGTACTGCTAAATATTTATGTTCAAAATCAAAGCTGCCAGTGGGCGTATATTACCTTGCCTGGCAAGCTATCTTCTTTCAATCGTATAGAGTAAATTTCGCTTGATGTTGACGTTGTTTATAGGCATCCCGTCTTATTATGAGGCTACACAACACAGGACTAATTCATCAATAAAAGACCCTCCAGTCAAAGTCAGATCTGTTCATTACTGAGGGAGATGATAATTCGGCCAGTCTAAGTCTAGTCACAGTAATGAAAGAGGCGATGTGAAATTCTGATTGGAATTAATCCAATTACAGTTGGTAAAAGCCAACATGTATTTTGCTTGTGTTATCAGAAAATGTCTGGCTCGTATGTTAAATGGAACGTGTCTTGTCTGTCTCTCTGATCTTTCGCCGACCGATTCGTCATTTATTATTGAAATATTAAAATGATAAATATAGTTACATTTATAATTGGTCATGCATTAAACAAGATATAGTTTAACACTCTTAACAATCAAAAACAAAGATAGCTTGCCAGACAAGGTAACATACGCCCACTACCAGCTGTCAGAAATGATAGCAAAGTCTTTGGAGACTTGATAATGATCTTCTAAAGATTGAAATAATCTTAAAATTATGTAAACTCAAGGCAAAACCTCAAAATCAGTTACATCAAATTATCATCGAAATTCAAACATGAACAAGGTCTCATCGACGTACACACAAGGGCATTTACTCTGAAACCGTTCAGATTAATACCAATTTCGAACATCAATATACATACATACCGAGTTTCATTAAGATCGGTTAAAACTTGTAGCCTTTATTGTGCCTACAAGCCAAATTTGACGCGTTTTGCTAAGTCAAGGGCAACAACTCCGAAACCGTTCATCCAATTATTACTATTTTTATACGCCCACATGAATATGTGGTCGTATATTGTCGTCGCCCCTGTCCGTCGGTCCGTCGGTCCGTCCGTCAACATTTCTTGTGAGCACTATAGAGACAACAGTTTTTATCTGATTTTGATAAAACTTGGTGTGATGCTTAAGATTGATAAGATCTCGGTCAAGTACGAATTTGACATATTTTCGATAAACGGTTTTGGAGATATTGCACTTGACTTAGAACGCCTTGAAATTTGTTAAAAATAGTTCGTGAGCAGGATTGAAGCTACAGTTTTCAACCGATTCTGATGAAACTTGGTGTGATCATTGGAATTGATAAGATCTCGGACAAGTTCGAACTTGACGCATTTTCGATGAACGGCTTTTGAGTTATTGCCCTTGACTTTGTTAAAACGCGTAGAAATTTGTTAAAAATAGTTCGTGAGCAGGATTGAAGCTACAGTTTTCAACCGATTCTGATGAAACTTGGTGTGATCATTGGAATTGATGAGATCTCGGACAAGTTCTAACTTGATGCAATTTTGATGAAATGTTTTTGAGTTAATGCCATTCACTTACGAAAAACGCGTTGAAATTTGTTTGTGAGCACAATAGAAGCTACAGTTTTCAACCGATTCTGATGAAACTTGGTGTGATCATTGGAATTGATAAGATCTCGGACAAGTTCTAACACGAGATATGTTTGATGAACTTTTTTTGAGTTATTGCCCTTGACTTTGTAAACATGCGTCAAAAGTTGTTTTTTGCCCTTGATTAGAGCTGTGTGATTTAATTGTTTGTTGTATTTGGGTTATTGATATTGATTTTAAAAAATTTTGTGGAATTATTCAGCATGAATAATTTCTTCAATATGAGAAAATTCGTACTTTAGTCACTAAAGACTGTTTTATTATTTCTGCCAGCTGCCAGTGGGCGTATGTTACCTTGCAACGCAAGCTATCTTCGAACTAGGCCGAGATCTCATCAATTTATACATGCAAACCAAGTTTCATCAAGATCAAATAAAAACTGTTGTCTTTATCGTGCATATCGTTTTTTTTAAATTAAAGGCAATGATTCAGACACCGTTCATCCGATTATTACCGTTTTCGAACTTGACCGAGATTTGCATATAAAGTTTCATCAAGATCGAATAAAAACTGTAGCCTCTATCGTGCATACAAGAAAGGTGGACGGGCGGACGGACGGACAGGGGCGACGTCAATATACATCCACATTTTCATGTGGGCATATAAAAAAACTAGCGCCCACTGTTTTCCATCCTATCTGTACCGTTATTAGCAGAAAAAGACAATTCGGGTCATGGCGGTGCAAACAATCCGTGCATGTAAAATTACCCTGTGTGATCAATTTTCCAAGTTTTTCTCAATGTTTCATATTCATAACCTTCTTTCAGATTTATTGCCATCAAGTATCCATTACAAGCCAAATCAGTGTGTACGATGCGAAACACGCAAATTGTCGTGTGTATTTTGTGGGCACTGTCCTTTCTGATGGCGATTCCAATTATTTTTGGACGGGTAAGTGTTCTCCATACTTGACCTCTCGAACTGGTTTAGTATTTGATTTATGGTTATTTCTTTTATAAATTAATTATTCCATTTTCCCCTTAACTTTTGTTTGCATAAGGCTGAGTGTATTGATCATATTGCTTAAGACTGAGAATGTCAGATAGATACAGGTTGGTACTTTTTTAATGTAAAGCACAGCTCTGAATAATGAATATGGTATCCATTTAATTTTTAGAATGTAAAATAGCTCTTCTATAATTTCCGTTAATGTCAATGACCATAATACAATGGCCTAAAATTACAGTTCTTCATCTTAGTCTTGTAATTTAAAGAGTAAATGCCAGTATATACAATGTTGTGTTTAAATTTCGACACGAGCGCACGTATTCCTTTTAGGTCCCAACGGCTTATGGATTTAATATAATCAAGATATATGTATGCATCTATTCTGAGTTGAATACTTATAATACTAGAATGAATATTACTCTAGTCAGAATTTCTTGATGGTCGTGATTTACTACAAGCAGATATTATAATATTACATAAATACATATATATATATATTTAACAGACATATAAACAAAATTGAAAAATAATAACAATTTATTTCAGATTCACAAGGAGGTTGGCGTTGTAAGAAAAGGATATTGGTGCTTATTAGAATGGTCCAGTCACGTATATGCCATATCCTATGAATTTTATATGTTTTTCATCTTATTTCTATTGCCTGTTGGTGTAATGACGGTCACTTATATGTTTATTTGTGTAGAAATATGGAGACTATCTGCAGTTAGAGCTAGCATGAGAACTGGAAGGTAAGTGGGTTATCATGGATGTGCAGTGGTATTAGGTTTCGGGGAAGGGAGGATTGGGTATTATACGACCTGGTTTTAACGTGCGGTGTAGGATACGCATAACATCACCCTTTATCAGCGGGGTAAAATACGACAAGCATAACCATAAACATTAGAGTGTAGGAAACTATAAACATTGTCTTTGACATACGTGGGAGGATACAATAAGCATTATCTTTAATCTGAGGGGGAGGATACAATAAGCATCGTCTTTGACATATATGGGGAAGAATACAATAAGTAATATCTTTAGTCTGAGGTGGAGGATACAATAAGCATTATCTTTATTCTGAGGCGGAGGATACAATAAGCATTGTCTTTATTCTGAGGTGGAGGATACAATAAGCATTGTCTTTAGTCTGAGGGTAAGGATACAAAAAGCATTAATTTTGGCCCGAGGGGTAGGACATATTTCGCATTATCTTTAATATATCGATGTGGATAAGATAAGTGTTATCTTTAGTCTTAATGATTGGTCTAAAATCTCTTAAGCGTATAGCAGGTAACAATTCATAACATAATTCAAAAATCTTGACGTACAAATTTAAATTTCCAAACTTCAACGTTTTTCATTTATTTCTAATTTCAAATGTGAATGTTACTCGGTGTCCCTTTCCGAATGCCCACTCAGTAATATTGTTTATTTGATATATCTATATTTACAGAACGTGCTATTTTTTTTAATTACCTTTACCAGGTCCTTCTCCGGTGCTGAAGCATTCTATAAGGAAGTTAACTGTATTTCACATTTGAAAATAATATATGCCACACAGAACATGTGTCAGATATAAGCTAGCATCATTCGCTGATATATGTTCAGTCATAGATGTTAAAATCAAATTTAAAATCTTATTTAAACCAGCTTCCGCTAATGACACTGGTGATTCTCACGTTACATCCAATGCAAATATTATTTTGGAAGAAAGTTCGATTAGCTTATTTTATTGTGGCCTATGATGATGCTGGGTATTCCTTGACAATCGTTACCACAACTGTTGATTAACTGCAATATTAAACAGTTGTACCCAGCTAATGTGTATCTAAAATAAAACCAATATCTGTTTTCGATATTCTGTTTTAATTTACCTTTATAGAGTTATCTCGCCTGGTTCCCAACCACAGTCAGTTTCAAGACAAGAGAGTGCAGATTTAACTGTTCCTTTAAACGGTCGCAAGCCCAGACGCCAGCAGTCAAAACAACCCCCAGATAATACTCGTAAACAGGTATATATACCTTATTACTCGAAACAAATATGTGAAAATGGCACATTCATAAAACAAATCAGTATGCATTTGACTTACGACTTCCCAGCAGCTATACGTACAAAGGAAGTTCGAAGGAACATTTCAGTGCTCTTCAATGGTCGTTCCGACGAAACGTGTTCTTGAGAAGTGTGCAAATGAAATTGGTGACAATACGTCCAACTGTATTACAATATTACATACTTGCGAATAAACCAGGTATTAGTGTCTGTATCAGTTGAACATCTATGTTCCAAAAGCAAATTTGAGAATGTATTGATTATATTCTTCTTATAAAATTTACCTTAAATTTAGTACTTTTGTCTTAACACATTCATTTGATTTTGACTTTGTGTGATAAAAATATAACTGTATTTAATTTAAACATCAAATATAAACACTTTTTTCTCCCGGAAATTTTAGTCCCGACTGTGGCTAAAGATTGTGTTTGTATTTGGAAAGATCAATGTGTTTTCAGTTTATATCGTTATTAGAGCATAAACATGCAAAGATTAACTATTTTGACTCTGATATTCAGATTCAAATAAGAATGATGGCTGAAATTGTGTGACAACAACTTACTGTTGTTAAATGCCTCAAAATACAATTACATAGAATGCCCATTGATTTAAATCCCAAAATTGTCAGAATTCAGAAAAGAGGAATATTTAAATTGTTTTCATTGCAAGCCAAAGAGGCATTTTTTTCTAAAACAAAAGCTTCTTCTCCGGTGATAAAAAAAATGGGATGAATGTAAATCTAAGTGTTAAAAAATGGTGGAAACAATTAGTTAGTGAACTTTGCTGACAAACTGTGAAGCAACGGATGGGTTGCTAGTCGAAATAGCAATATAGGTCTGAGCGAAATGAAAATTTTGCACATTTCTTTTACTATTGGCATCTTGCAAGGTAAGGCTACGCTTAACTTATTTCTCCAACTTGGGAATCATTGAATTTTCAAAACCGAACAATTATTATTTGTTATTCGATATGAATAATACTTCTATTATCTATAAAGCCAGAATCTTAGGTTCTACTAAATATATCTTTGGAATCAGTGTTTTAGTCACTTCCACCGTCCAGTTCGTATAGTTCATATAGACCTGGGGCCTTAATTTTTAAATACAGTAATGTGATTGAATTAAAAAGTTAATTTTAAAATCAATTTTAGTGATTGACCAATCATTTGAGGTTTACGAGAATAAGGCCCCTGTTCAATTGCCACTGTCTGTAAGATCATTCATAGTCTTTTATAAAATATATCATACCTCTGTAAAGGTTTGTTCTTTTTCTTTTAGCAGTGTCACTGTATCGTTTCAACACAAGATACTACAATAATGTCTTCACCAAAAGATTCGAAGATAAGTATGAAGCCTGTGAAAAAAGATTCTAAAGCTGTTGCAGAATATAATATGGATGATTTGACAAGGCAAATGGCGCACGCAGACTCATATTTATCAGAGTCCCTTAAAGTGATTTCCCAAGTCAAACGATGGCAAATGAACGACGACAATAATTATATGGATGGAAATGGTAATTATCACTTTACAGTAATACATGTGGATAATAAAATCAAAGAAAATAAGCTCAACAGACGCAACACGGTCCCATCAGCATTAACATTATCACAAGAGGTTTCTGATTTGGAAAGACAACTAGACGACGTGAAGAACTCTTTCGACACTATAACGAAGGCGGCCTTAATCCTGAAACAACGTATCAAACAGGAGTCAAAAGCTGATCCCGAAAACAACGATAGTAAACCCATAGAAGACAAAGTGCTGAATCCCGAAAGTCTGTACAGCCACCTCAAATACGCAAAAAAAGCCGAACCCTTCACGTGTAGTGCAGTCCTGCCCGACTTCACAAATGTGGTTGTCAGGAAAAGAACACTCAGTGATCAAACCCGGTCAGACATGAAGACATGGATGGTAAAGACTTTCTCTCGATAGAAATAGTTTGGGGATCAAATTATCCTTACCACATAAGACATTAAAATTATTTCGTTTATGTATACCTTGGCACCTAATTTCTTAGTTTTCAAGAATCATTATTACTTAATGAACACCCTCTATTTACATGTAAATATATTTTTAGGCCACTATTAACAAATAGTACATATTATTATAAATGTGTAATAAAACAGAGATGATATGAATGGTTAGTTATAATTGATTTTAACAGACTTGTAAACCAGCAAGAATGGTATGACAACATTTAATAAAAAAAAAACAGCAGTTACCTTACTCCGAAATCCTGGAAATTTTCTCTCCAATTGCTTCATCAACCCATTTCAGTTCAGTTTCAAATCAGAATATTAGAACGATATACGGACGGTCTTCTGAATTTAACAGACTTCTTTTCAGTTGCCATAACGGCCATGATCTTTGACTTATAATTAAAGAGAGAAATTCCAGATTTTACCCAAATTCCAGCTAGCCATTACTAAGAAAATTTTCTTTTCAGTGTTTCAGTCAGGAAGCTGAATTTTTCATTTTGATAACGCCTGTTACACAGCAATGTCACATAATTATCGCCGTGTAATTACCTTGTAAATAATATTACTATGCTTATCAAAGAATTACATATCGAATTGGCTAGTTCATATTTCACAATCAGCCGTGGTGAGAGCACAAATTTGATTGGTAAAAGCAGGGGTCATCAGGATAGGTCAAAAGGTTGTTGTGACGAATATTCAAGATTGCTTTCTGATCCAATTATAAAACAATATAGATTTATTATACTTTTCTCTGGACGACATCTTTCAATGTGCTGATGTCTGTAAGAAGTTTCTCCTTTAAACTCTCAACATCCAAATCACAGTAATAACAAACGGATCGTGTAGGCGTTCGACACTTATCCCGTAATTTAACATGACGAGAGCCTCATAATTTAATTTTAAAAGTGAAGGCAGAAGGTTATTTAGAACGTCAATCAACGTAAAAGGACATATGCGAGGCTCACAGTTATCTTGATAATATTATTAATAAAGCACAAATAAAGTTTTTGCGACAGATTAAGTTTCAGATAAAATTATTGACGAAATTAAATCTATATCTGAAAGTGAACCAGAATAATGTCATTTAAAATGATCTACTTAAACAAATATAATTATGAAACCCACTATTGAATTTCATACCACTAATAAGATTAAAAAAAAACATTCATTGTCGTTAGTAATACGAATAGTTGTGAGTCAAATAATCGTCGTCGATTAGAAAATCTGAAGAGCTAAGAATGCCAATTAAACTGAAGACAAAACCAAGCCCTTGATATAGAGAAAAATCAAATGTATCGCTGGTAATTGATGGGCGTCACATGCAATTAAAAGAATTTATGAAGGCTAGCAGTAACTCAATAATGACAATCCTTTTTTTAACAAAGTGAAATTTTACGATTGTTGATAAACCATAACCAAATTCTAGTTAAGCGCATCACTTTCTTGCTGTGAAGATAATTTAATGCGTGCATGCATATAGAATGCTATATATTGCTCCTATCAGGATATCATCTTAGTCTTCTTTAAATACCAAAACCACAGAGGTTGATCGGTGTACACCACTCTTCAAACAACGGAATATTAAGTGAAATTATAACTTCTGTATATTACCACCGCCCTTGGCCGTCGGACTAATTAATAACCGATCTTAATGAAACTTGGTATGCATGTATATTGATGAGATTTCGTCAAGTTCGAAGTTCGTAATAATCAGATGCACAGTTTCAGAGTTATTGCCATTGACTTATTAAAAACGCGTCAAATTTGGCTTGTAGAGAGACTGCAGTTTTTATCTTGATGAAACTTAGTGTGCATGTATATATTGATATCTCGATCAAGTTCGAAATGAATAACAATCGGATGAACGGTTCCAGTGTTATTGCTCTTGACTTAGTAAATACGCATCAAATGTGATTTGTAGGCAAGATATACACTACTGTTTTTATCCGATCTTCGTGAAACTTGGTGTGCATGTGTGTATTGATAAGATCTCGGTCAAGTTCAAAAAGGGGAATCAGATGAAGGGTTTTACAGTTATTGCCCTTGACTTAGTAACAAATTGGCTTGTAGGCACGATACAGGATACAGTTTTTATCTGATCTTGATGACATTTGGTATATGAGATGTCAGTCAAGTTCAAAATTGGTAATAATCGGATGAATGGTTTTGGATTTATTGCCTTTTATTTAGTAAAAGAGTCAAATTGTAGGCACGATAGAGACTACAGTTTCTATCCAACCTTGGTTAAATTTAGTATGCATGTTTATATTGGTGCGATATCGGTCAGTTCGAATTTGGTAATAATCGGGTGAACGGTTTTAGACCTCAACTAGACCTTGTTTGTGTTTGAGGTTTGAGGTGGGCGTATGTTACCTTGCTTGGTAAGCTTATAAAATCCTCAAACAAATTCGAAACCATATTAAATGTGAGCGTCAATAATAGTACTCATTGTGATTCGGTTCAATACATGTGATTCAATTGTGGCTGAACCTTTTATATTGTTACTGTCATGATGATACAACAAATACGAAAAAATATATTTGCGCGATAGTTCGATAAGAACAGTTGTGGAAACAATAAAATTTGATGTGATTCGCCAAAGTATCTCTATGTTATTAAGAAAACAAACTGAAACTACATCCCTCTCATTTCAGGTTGTTATCATGCTGATGGTCGTTGTTCTGCTATTTACAGTGTGTTGGGGACCAATTCTCTTTAACAACCTATTGGTGGCTTTTGGTATCCTCCCTGAACTACATATTGGGTACCACAGGCCAATGCGTATGGCCTTCTATCTTCTTTCGTATTTCAACAGTTGTGTTAACCCAATTGTATACGCATTCCTTTCGCGCAACTTCCGTCAGAGTTTCATTTTCGCCATCAGTGCTTGTGTTAAAGGTCGTGCATTTGTTCGTGCTTACACTTTCAGTAGATCCATTGTGACCCGAACATCCATGATACATACAAACGGTCGACCTATTCATAGCAGCGATAAAGACACTAATATAGCTATGATGTCGGAGACAACAATGCAGTCATCTCCAGATGATATGGAATTGGGAAAAATTTAACCTTGTGCTATGAAAACATGGAATATCTCTTTACAGGAACACCTCTGACTACTTGAAAGAAAATCTGCTTGAAACGACAACAAGATGTTGTGCATGTGCATGATTGGCTTTAAACGCTTTTTGTTTGCACAAAATCATTTTGTTCCCAGTTTATGTATAATAATTATCTCTTATCATATTGTTATGATGGACTTCATCTGCGGTAATGTGAAAGTTATTTTTATGTGCAATGGTTAGTGTGGTCACAGAGTACATTCATTCCGTATTGAAAGTAAACCTTGTGATGGTGGATGCACTAAAACATTTGTGTTATTTAAGACGTTATACGTAAAAATTGGCTAATTGTGTGTAGCAACACAAGATGTTGCGCAATCATAATCACATGAATGTTATTTTATTATTATTATTTGTTAAGCGTGCTTTCTTTGGTATCAAATTTGTTGTTTAACTTTCTTGAAAGCAAAGTAAACCAATTTAGAATTTTAAGCTTGACAGAATAATTATCGTTGATATACATATTTCCAAAATATATGGTGTGGTGTGTGATTTAATCCAGCAGGAATATACAAACCACATAGTGAGCGATCTCTGTCCATAAGAGTGGGGTGAAATGGAGATTTAATAAAGCTATCCTGCTATCAAAATATTGTGCTCATTGATTTGAGGACAATGGGGTTAAAGTTTCAATGACCAGAGTGTCTTAAACTTTGGCTGCGTGTTGTTCTTGTTGTCATGTAGGTGATGATTCATTGCAGCAATCATTACTGCCGTGTAAATGACATATATATGAAAAGAAAGCCGTATTTTTATCAGACTGAATTTGCTTATGACATGCTTACATAAGTGTAGGTTATGCATACTTTGTACAAAGTTTATTCTTATTGTATTCTGTATGTTAAGAGGATAGAGTTTACACTGTAAGTGCGTGATATTTTGTAAGGCCTGCTTCGAAAGGCTGAAAATAAATGTATCAAATCTTTGTTGTTGTTTGAAGTTGGCCTGTTTTAATCATTTTTTTGCCCACACATTCTTATAAGGATCCAGTTCGTAAATGTTCACAATTCAAATTGTTCTATGCCATTACCAGGTCGCTGGATCAAGCATTAGAAGAATCGTCACGAAATAACTATGTCAAAGGTGTATCTGGTTTCTGTACACTATTGGTTCAGTCACTTTTACAGAGTTTCAAAATCAATTTAAAATAGTATTAGGAGGCTTTGATTGTCTTTTGGCTGATGTAAACTATGTGGATTTTTTTAAAAGACAAATTCAAGGATTGACGTGTGGTTATTTCAAATGTTAACGAAGCTTATAATAATATTTCAGTAGACTCGAACACGTACTAAGACAATAAACTACATGTCTGTGAATGGTTGTAAGTGACAAACGAAATGTATTTCAGGAATAATGGTAGGTCTGTAGCTGCGGTCCGACACAAAAATAAAAAAAAACTCTATATTTTATTTTCGAAGGTAAATCGTACCTTAGTTCAGGAAATCAGTAATTGCGTTTACATCTCAATTTATTATCTATGCATATCCATAATTATCCGTGTCTGAAAAATTGCATTGACGAGGTACACCGTGTTTCGTATTAGATCTTTCGATTTATGAAAACTTCCTAGTCAGAGGTTGAGTTTTGACTTTGAAATTGCTTACGCATGGTTATTTGACACATAGACTTTGAACTTTATTAAGGAAATTTTATAGTCGTTTAACCGAACTTCGAGACAAATATTACAAATCTGAAGTGGACTTATATAATGTCGGATGTCGCGCGATGCTTACTCTTTTCGAAACATCTGGTGGTACTTATTTTCGTAGAATTCTAGTACTTCTGAAATCTATTTACAATCCCAAATGAAAATGGTGAACCATGCATAACCTTTAAGGCTTACGTAATATAGTGACTTTAAACTTGTCGTTATTATTAAACATTATGAATATGTCTAGCACAGTGAATGAAGCATATAAGTTAAAGCAATTCATCAGTGGCAATCTCATTACAAAAGGTACGAGAGGACAAAAAAGTTTTGATTTACGACCATGAATTTTATAAACCATCTTTATTTAACTACACTTGATCTTTGATGTAACTTGATGACATTTTATCGATTTCCTGAATTACAGATTTTTCATTCAAATTTTACTCAAAAAATACATAATCTAAAAGCTGAAGTAATTGCATCTGCGATCATTATCTAAGATTGAAACACGCCTTTATACAAACTATTGTCCGAGAATCTACAGAATATATTCTGAAAGGCACCTTTATTTTTAACGTTGTCTGGCTATAGCAAATGCGACCCCAATTTAATAGTATAAAAATAATGTTGATATTTATTACGTTTTCAAGATGAAAAGAAATTCATATGTATGGGGTATGAATATGACTGTTTATATATCATTACATAGCTAAAATTAATATCATTCACTGAAAATGTTTTTGTTGTAAGAACTTCACTAATCACTTCAATTCCATTCCGTCACAAAAGATATTATTTTATCATTTCAGGTTAATGTTAGAGCTTCGGACTAAATCGAAAGAATTACTTCTCTAATTTTTTTTAAAACTATTCCATTACACTATAATCTCTTTGACTTTATAATCTCATTTATTGTGCACTTAATTCTCATCAAGAAATCAACTTTTTATACGCCCACATGAAATGGGGGTGGGGCGTATATTGCCGTCACCCATGTCCGTCCGACCGCCCGTCCGTCCACAATTGCTCGTAAGCACTTTACAAGACACAATTCTTGACAGATTTTGACAAAACTTGGTATGAGTGTTCGTAATCACCCAAGGATGAACCCCATTGAAAATCAGAGGAATCGAAAAATATTTAGTATGAGTTATTGCCCTTGTTCTTGAAAACGCGTTCAATTTTTAGCTCGTAAACACTCTAGAAGTGACAGTTCTTGACGGATTTGTACGAAACTTGGCATGAGTGTTTGTTATCACCCAAGGATAAACCCTATTGAATATCAGAAAAATTGAAAAATATTTATTATGAGTTATTGCCCTTAAACACGTTCAATTCTTAGCTCGTAAACACTCTAGAAGGCATGATTCTTGCTGGATTTAGACAAAACTTGGTTTTATATTCAGTCCAGCGCTGAAGTTTGATATTTGCCCTCTAGAGTTTTCACCAGCTAAAAATTGAACACGTTTTCAAGAACAAGGGCAATAACTCATACTTAATATTATTCAGAAAAAGAGTTCAGAAGAAGTGTATGACTGAAGGTTGAATATTTCATACTGGTAATTGTACTGCTAAACATTTTTATTCAAAATCAAAGCTGCCAGTGGGCGTATATTACCTTGCCTCGCAAACTATCTTTAATGTACAAGTTGACTTAAGACATTTATTTTATGTTTGTCATTAACACGTTCAAAATCAAGATAGCTTACGTTGCCATAAACAAATTTGATGGTTTATAGGAGTACAAAGGGGCACAAATCGCAAATTTTGCGAGATAACATATTGAGTTGTGAGGGATTCTCTAGGAATATTTTATGGATTGTCAAAACTTTAAACGAGGATTTTGTATGAAGTAAATAAAAGTAAATTGTTTTACAATATTATTTTGCTACAAATTACCTAGCACAGATAACTTTTCTTCAGAAGTGAAACATGTTCAAAAATATGATTTCCATATTATAGAATCTCATGATATCACTGCATCCTAAATATTTTGTTCTTCACGAATAACGGGACAACGGAGTTTATCAATTTATCTTCGTAAAAATGTACAATTACATGTTAAACTTGTATTTCATGTCACATAGACAAATCTATTCTGCATCTGGCCATACAAATAAATTCAATAGTTCTTTGATCTCATTTCGTTCAATTAAAACCAAGAAGACAAATTACATCTTAATCTATTAATTGGGTGTAATCTATCAATTTCTATTATATTTCTTATTATTCCTTCATTCCTAATTAAAGAAATTAATCATTTTGGCAAGTATATCCGAGATAATATTTTCTTTTATAAATGCAGACGAAAATACTAAAACTACTCATGTCTGCTTGAATACAATCTCAAATATTGTGAGACAAGAGCTATCAAAAACACCATGATCTCAAAACAAATATACATGTTGACCCTATTTGAAAAGAATTTGCTTCATAACTTAAAGATGGGTTGCTTATTTTCATTTATGAAAATGCTAATACTTATATGAAAAGAGGTGTTCTAATGACTTGGAAAAATATCAGTTTGTCTCACATTAATTCTTAATTAGCTAAATTAAAAGAGAATTACCAACAGAATTCCAATGAGTGACCGATCAAGAAAGGTCAAAAAGTCTTTTATTTACTTATCTAGACTGTAGAAACATGGACATTTATGATTGTTTAAAACTCTTGATTATATGCAATAAGAACACAATGATATGATTAAGAATACATGATAATTCATAAGAAACACCAATTATTAAAATAGTTTTTATTTGGTCTTTAATAATACACAACATTATATATTTAAGTATCAAGTTCATACCTTTCTCAAACATAATTTAAAGGCCGCGTCGTTCTTAAACACATAAAATGTTACTTTTGTAACCAGCTTTGTAAACACTTTTAAACATTTAAAGAAGTGTTTTGCTATGTTTTGCCAAGATAATTGTATAAAATATGACGAGTAAATCGATAGATCTTCAAATTGTTGGCCATAATTGTGATAAGACTAGCAATTATTTGGACCAGATTTAGTTGCAATGTTTTTCAGAATTGACAGATGCAGAAATCGCATAAAAACGTTCCGGAATCATCAATATGTTTTGGGTAT